GATAGTATCACTTTTTCGTTATTACACACGCTAAAACTGATTACAATTACTCAAAAACATGAAACTGCTATTGAAACTAAATCTACGGGCACGGACAGTGATCGATTTTGGTCCATACCTACTATGTAAGAGATTATTTGAAGATTGTTTATTTTGTTATCAGGTTTTGGTGACTTTGTCGCATTACAAAAAGAACAAGCATTAAGTACAAACCCACTCTATGTTGTATTAGCCATGACATTTATTCTATTTGGCCTCACCGTTGTTGCGTCATCTATGAATTTACTCGTATTACGATTTTTAACAATGAATACAGAAGATGAAAGACGAGAAGAAATCGAATCTCAAGTGAGAAACTCATTAAGATTTGATAGTGATATAATAACGGCTAATGGTAAGATTATTTGTTTTATCTATATCAAACTCCTCTTGATGATATTTTCGTTCTATTCAGGTGATTTACGAATACTTGCTGAGCATCTTGAATATTTATCAAATACATCTGATTCAAAACCATGTAATTGTTTTGGATGTTTAAAAAGAAAGAAAAAACGCTATACCGTAAGACGTTCTCCAGGCAAAATTGCTCATTTAATTCCGTTACAACGAATGGATTCTATAATGACACGAACTCGTTTACGAGCAAATACTGGACAACAAGGATCAATTCACGCTTCAGACGAAATTCTACGTTTTGATCAATTTAACAATAATCATAATCATTTTAATCACAGCAACGTATCTGCATCAACAAAACTACCATTAATGCTACCATCGTCAAAGCATATTTCAACCGATAACCTTCTCCTACCAAACACTGCATCATCTGCTCATTCAATTAGAAATGATCGTCAGTCACCAGATATTTCACCACAAACACATCTAGCAACAGTATTGGCAAAGTTTCGTCAAAGATCATCAGTGTGATTTCTATAGAGTTTACTTTTCTTTGCATGTGTCTATATCTCTTCTTCCACATGAAATTTGTACAAAAATGTGAATCTTTTTTCTTCTCATTTGTTCAAGTGTTTTATAAAACTGTGAAAATCTAGCACGCTTGTTCTTATGTTTGATTTGATTAGAAATCCGTCATGAAACTCAATTTGATTTTTTTATTCTTTCTTTCTTTCTTTCTTTTCTTTTCTCAGTTAAATCTAAATTATGATGTTCTTAATTTTGATAAATGATGTTCTTTATGTAAACAGAACTGGACGAACCATGTTTTAAAACTTTGTTTTTTAAAAATTTAATGAAAACTTTCT